TAGCATTAACGAAGCTCTCTGTCATCGTTGTGGCTCGCCCCGGACAACTTCGCCTCACTCGTGCTACTCCTGTGGGGAAACTACGCTTGTGGTTATATACATATATATATGTGTGTGTGTCAATGTGCGTGAAGGTGTTGGTAGTAGTTACAAGCATCGATCCAACTATTGCTCACGACAAACGAATACACAATACACAACGACAGAAGTTTTTTGCGCCTGCATGCGGATGTATGAGATTCACAAGTGCGCGTGTTAAGCACGTTTGAGGTTATGTCGCCAACGTAGCTGAAATATGCCTGCCAACTGCCCTTGTTAGCTTCGATTCAATAATGAGCATATATACTCATACACAGGTTATGCACATATATAAGCGCAAATGAGCGACGTGCAAACCACACTTGACTTCTAGATTTCCTACACTTATTGTAGTCATTACTAATAAGTATGTACCATATATTAGGGTGGTTCTTACTTCAGCATATGAACAGTCTTTTCAGCACAAGATTTTAATTACCAATATTATTACCAAATATATGACATATCAGTATAGACTACTTTCAAACCGAGTTATGTCGAACACGGCTCCAAAACCAGATTTTCCTATTTATACCCAAAAACAAAAAAAACGTAATTTTTATTTTCACCGAAGTTAAAATACCCTTCACAAATACAAAAGATTTCTTAGAAGAACTTGATTCCCCTCGTTCAGACAAAAGAGCAACTTTTTTGGGGAAAAGAACGTGTGTGAAATTGTATATCGATATCTCAAAAAGACTTTAGGGACTTGTTCGCGTATATATAGACAGACGGACATACAGACAGACAAACGAGTCGACTGCATGACAAGCTGATGCTGATCATTTCCATATAATCTTTATAGGGTCTTCGGCGTTTCCTTCTAGATGTTACAAACTTCGTGCAAACTTAATATATCCTGTTCAGGGTATACCCAAAATTTAGGCTACCCAATTTATTACCAACCTATTAAAAAATTGGTGTGTCTTACTTCATAACATATTCATTACAGTTCATATTTAGAATTTCTGAAAAATGTTTGCCTACATTACGGCGCCACCTTAATTTTGATAAGTTTGCCGTAGTGTGAGTTTATGACAAAAGTCAATGGGATTTTTATTTCTCGCATTCTTATTTCCTTTGTTTGCTTGAGTGACTTGTGTCATTTGTCGACGCTGGTGTTGTTGACATCACACATAAATACAATAACAACAACATATCGGTACACATGCACAACTTCGGTACGAAAAATCGCAAAGATAAATGCGCTCACCCGTATTGCCAGTAAAAATCTTCTTTGTTGCTGTTCCTGCTGATTTACGTCACATTTGCTATAATAGGATCAAATATTTTATGCCAGTGTCATAGGCTCTAATGATTTTTCCGCATTTATTATGAGAGGTCAATTGTTCTGATTCAATGTTGTTTTTTGCTGGAAAATTCACGAAACTTCCTGACAACTTTCATTGTAAACATGGAAATGGTTTGGAGGAGATGTTAAAAATAATAAGATGTTAAGCCTGTGGGAAAGACCGTGCGAAAGACAGGATTTTTCTTGTGTTGAACTTACTTGGAATGTTTATGAACGCCTACAGTGTTAAGACTTGAGTTCAAGCTTTGAAGCCTGTAAAATAATAATATACGGTCATTGTTGAAACGAATCAATGTCGGCAATATTACTCGCTGAACTATGGCAGCAAAAAATTATCACATTAAATTTTGGCTATTGAAGTAGAGAAATTGCTTTTTAAATGAATAAAGGTAAACCAGATTAGGTTATATAGCTGATCTATAAAACAGAGGGAGCATACTAAACAGTCCTTTGTGAAGCCAGAAAAAGTCGTACATCTTATCTCGAGAAAAAAAATCCTTACACCCGAACTTACCCTTCTTACTTGGTAAGACTTGGACTTGAATGTGTGCCCGGTCACAGCGGAATCCCCGAAAACTGCAAAACCGATGTGCTTGCTATGGGGGCACTCTAACGCCAATTTCATCCGACTGGAAGCGAGTCCGATGTCCTTTTTAGCTTTAGCTATGGGCCCCCAGTAAGCTTGGCAGGCGCAAAACCTGAACTTGTGCAATTGCGGAATCTTTCTAGCCCAAAGTAACCAAATTAAATAAAACTATCAAATTTAGTCAAAACGGGTCATGTTGTTTTTATGCAGATAATATGTCATATATGAATTGAACAAGCCATCACGGCTCCGTGTGCTTATCTCCACCCAGTGTTTCGGCTATATTTAGTACGCTATATGTTGTCTTCGAACTTCTCGAGCATTGCTGGTTGATTGGGATAAGCCTTTGATTTAACATACCCCCAGAGAAAATATTCTAGAAACGTTAAATTGCATGTTCTTGACGGCCTTATGACTACATAATTTCTCGAAACTAACGAGTCGCCAAACTTGGCACGCCATGCGTCCATGTTTAAACATGAAACATGAGGCGGCGCACCGTCTTGTTGGAAATAGAGATGCTTCGCGTCGATTTCATTAAATTCCGGGGGGAAAAAGTCGTCAACATCATGTTATAACGCTCGCTATTGATGGTAACGGCTAGTTCTGCCTCATTTCGAAAGAAATAAGGCCCGATGATGCCGCCATACCACAATCCGCACCAAGTTTTGGGGATGCAATTTTCCGGAATCACACGAAGATTAGACTCACCAAATAAGCGACAATTTTGTTTATTGACGAAACCGTGAAGCTAGAAATGGGCCTTATCTGAGAAGATTATTTCTCATTCTACAGCAGCCACCGGAGAATGTGAATTTGCGTAATAAGCTTGCACAGTTTCCAAGCTTTGCACCAAAGTGAAACGTGGTACGATGAAATGGCAAATTCTACTGAACGCACTGACAAAATTTTGCACAAATCCGCAAACAAACATGGCCGCCGCGAGCTTTAAAAACCCCATTATCTCTATTGGTAGCTGTTGTACTTCAGATTGAGATTGAAATATTTAGGTACACACCTTTGGAAAGTTTAGCGAAGTGGCTAGGAATGATACTAACCGCCTTAATAAATTTGTGGTAAGCTCAAAACGCTTCATCCATCTATTTAGTGATCCACTTTTAAAAGTATTTAGGTAACACAAAGGACAAGTGAAATTCACTGATTTTGGTTCAACCCTACGACGTAACCAAACCAAACAGGTCTTGCAACAGGAGGCCGAGCATTATCATTATAAAAAAAACGATTAGCCAGGAGAACCGAAAATTACAAAGGTTTTTCTGAAACGATCGCTTAAAATTTATGAACTGTTGTCGGTAGCATTTCCCTTCAATGGCTTCACCCGATTGTAGAAGCTACAGCACGCTCCTCTGATCCCAGCAAAAACAGAGCATTTAATTGACGTCTTTCAATATCTCTTAGCTTTGTTTCATGTGCTACCCAAATTCCTTGCCCTTGTGTGAAAGACTGCCAGAGACTCTGAGCTCGCCCTTCCTGTGTTTGGCAATAATATTTGTAGGGAAATGCTTCTAACTCCTCATCTTTAAACTTGTTTGACTGCACAGGATGTTTTTCGTCTTCTAAGCCAAACTTCCACCAAAATACGACGACTTTCGGTTTAAGTTTTCATTATATTAGAGTAATTAACAAGAACTTCTCGCAAAAAAAACTTTTTCCGCCACAAATTTTTACATATTTACGTGAAAAAATTGTCATTGTTTACGCTGTAAATCAGTGGCATACACTGAAAAAGACGCACAAGTATAGTGGTTTTCCAATGCTTGTTTGAAATATAAGAATATTGAGATAATAATCAATTTTAACCTCTTGGTAAACCGCACGAATATATTTATAGATTATTACATACATAGAATATTATATCTTCAGAATTATTATAATGATTGTAACCTGTCATCAGCTTACCAACTTCAATTTGAATCACTCTGCACTCTACTCTCCTAATTATGTATAACTAAGGAGGTTGAGGCTCAATAGTTTTCGTTACTTATCAATTATTACTAATCACCTTCTGTTAAGGTAAGTTTAGTATATTTATACATGATAATTCTTGTGTTTGCGCAATTTATCAAATTGTTATTAAAACCAAACCATACCCTTAATCAATATCACTCATACGCCCTGACGGCTTCATAGGTAGTAATTACATATAATTATATTGCTTATACGCAGCGCACTCCAAGACACATTTGAGTGTTATTTTTTTCAAAATTCATAAATTATCGTTTTTTAATTAATTATATAATATATTGTGTGGGCTCTTAATGGAATTCGCAGGCGTGTTCAACGCCAATCGACACACCCACTCATTACTGCATTGCTTGTCTGATAAATCGAAAACTTTATTAAGCACAACACCATACAATATTCTAAGCGCATTTCCCAGTTAAATTCCATTATTTTAATTTTTTTCTGTTTTCCATTATCCCTTTCAATCTGCACTAATGCGTTTTATATCAGCGTCATCGTCTTAATCGATTACATTCCATAGGTGCTGCCTTTTCTGAGCAATAATTATTTCAACAATTCCTACGTCAACTTATTGTGTTTCTGGGTTTTTCAACTACTGAAATGACTGCCACTTTTTCAACCATTCCTAATACTCTTCCCATTAAAGGGGGCTTATTATCCTCTTGCTGTATTATTATTTTTTTTTCTCAAATAAATCGAATTACTTAAATTCCTTGTGAAATACTTAGCTGATGATGGTAGAAAAGTAGAAATGATTGTAGAGTGAGATGATCACACATATTTATATACATACAAGTATATACCACAAAATATTTTTCAGACTACTGGAAATATGAATTGGTTTATTACTTTTGCTAGATAATTGCTTTCGCTTGCGATTGATTACTTAAGGTAGAAATTTCTCTGTCAGGATTTTTGAGTAGATCTTTTTGGGTATTTTCCGACAAATTTTTAACACTAAGTATTCTATTATATTTTTCTTATATAACACTAATTTTAAAATTCCTTTCTTTTCATTTCAATTGATTATGATTCCAGAACAAAAATCAATACTCACCGATAGCGACTGGAAGAAGCTATGGATGCGAGGCGGTATAAATCCCGATTCAAAATTGGATAACAATCTCGAAACAAGTGACAGCCCGATGTTCGAGGATAGTGAGGTTAGTTTTTCGACACAAATTTTAAATTAGAATGCTAGCATAATATTAAGTTATGCAATATAAAATAAAAGAAGGTAGTAAAAGTGTTGTCGACTTCCTTTGTTAAAGGAAATAAGTTGTCGAAGGAGCAAACAGTGCAAATAGCAAGCAGACCAGTTTTTCTATACTCTTGAACATAAAATTTGTGTTGGTTGTTATTTGTGGCTTGAGGAAAATGTTATCTCAAAAATAATTCAAGAATTGGAAGACAAATGCAGGACTTCTTACCTCAAAGCCAAAGTTTTGACAGAGGTTGCTATAAAATTGGTATATTTCGGCTTAAGCTTTCCCGATGAAATCAAACCTTATAACTATATCTCTGCCTGTAGTTGCAACTTCTTTGTGATGTTAAAATCACTAATCTTTTGTTATAACCATAGTCAACTACGCTTAACTTTGCTTCTCAAATATAAATAAGTCTTCATATTTATTATTCCATGAACATGCTATAGTGGTCTAATTTGACATACGCACCGAAACGGAACGCCATGTAAAAACGCCGGATCCATTTGACGCTGACTGGTGACCTTAATATGCCTAATTACCTTATTTATATAATAGGATAATTAATCCAGGTCTATTCTACAGAACCTCACGACCAAAGTAATATTGTGGAATTAACGCCAACACATTTATTGTCTTCACACCATATTTTTCAAAACCAAGCGGAAGAATCACGGTCGTTATGACCTAACGCAAGTGAGTGAAAAATATGAAGACACCCTAGTTTCTGTTCCAAGTATTCTTTACAAGGCAGATGTCAAAATGAAGCAAAAAAGGGGTTTTTTCTTTTACATTTAATTATTGTTTATATATCGACAAAAATGAGGGCACACCTCTAATTAAAGGTACTGTTATTTATACTTAGAATCTATTATTTGAATACTCAGTAGTTGACATGCTATACATGACCGTTAATCGACGAAAATAATGACCGAAAATAAATAAACGCCACTGCTTTTTATTACGTCCATAATAATTGTAATTGAATTTTAATCCACATCTCTTAATCATTTGGTATGATTTTGACATAATTTTTTTTTTAAAAAAACGAGTTTGTAAATAAAGGCTATTATATAGTACGTAAACAAATTATAAATATTTATCGCATTTCCTTTTTTACTAATCAAAAAAATTTCACTACTTTCCCACTTCCCTTCATCCATTCATCCCTCTATATTGATTTCGTTGCAGATGGCGCACAACACGACCGTCCAGTTGGGTGGCACCGCATTTCTGGTTTGCAAAGTATCCGGCGTGGATAGAGTGGGTGTAAATTGGGTTTGTCTAAGAAAAAATGTTTGATGTTTATTCCCTTTTTATTTCATTGTAAATACAATAATTAATTAACAATTTTGATTTCAAATAATAATAAATAATTTTGCGCATGTTTTCACTTTTTTGTGCTATATATATATATTTTTTTTTTTATTTATTCAATGTTCTTTTTTTGTTTTGAGGACTGCTTAGCTTTTTTGTTGTTTTTAGAATAAACATTTTTTAACGAAATTATTTGAAATCAACACGCTTGCATGACCTTCGTCCTATTGACAATAAACGCTGTTAGCTATAATATTTGCAAGCTAATTAATTTAATTTGCATTTAATTTGTTTTCATTACTCACAAAAAAACGCAGTTAATTTTTTTGAATTATTCATAGTTAAAAAACTAATATTTTTTATTCATATGGTATTGACAGTAAGCGAATTTCTATGGGTTAAACAAAAAAGTGTGATTTTAAGTAGGTCAAGTGTATATTAAATTTATTAATTAAAGTTCTTCTGCTGCCCAACATGTGGATTAATTAAAAATTAGACAATTTCCATAGCAACACCCACTTTTATGGGAAATTTTATATCTTACAAACTGTCTCTGAAATGTAAAATATATTTGTTTCCTGGAGTTTTACCTCATCCGCATAATACAGTTTGAAATAGGTTAAGTGGGACTACAACAAAAAATTTAACAATATTTTAAATAAAGAGTGCTCTGATATGTTTCAATGGTCTTCTAAAAATTGTTGAAATCGGACGAAACTGCCATGTATATGCATTACATGCTTTTTTATATCTATGCGGTATCAGTTCTTAGTATCTAAAGTTGCTCAATGAAGTTTGCTGCTTTGTTTACTTAGTTAGAAAATAAAGGGTGATCTCCGTACCGATGAATTTGTTTAAAAGGTCAGATTCGAATTAATTTTATATATCTATATTTATAGCATATATAATGCCCATCAAGAAGTATAAAAGTTAACGATATTGTCTCTTTTTACTTTTACTTTTTCAAATTTTAAATTAATTCCCGTTTTTATATTTTTGTACAGTCAATTGATTTTATACGGCAAAGGCTTACCTATCTTGTGGTTCAATAAAATATATTTCAATTCTGAAGCTTTAAATAATTCCTTGGTTGACTGAGAGTCAAATAAAAATGGCTATTTTAATTCCTCTTCTCGTTGTTGTCATATTGATTTATGGACGTCTATGCCTTAACCTTTCCTAGTTTGCAGCATAAACTAAATAAAAATTTCAGAAGAATTACGATTTTGGAAGAAAAACGATTTTGGAAACAACAGAGTTTCTTCAAAATTTAAGTCGATCTTATAAAACATGTTCAAAATATTACTGATTAAGGTTTAATCTAGAACTTCATTCCCTCTCGTTTACTTCGAGACCGAATGGTAATTTTTGGAACCTACAAATATCCACAAGATGCTCTTGATTAACGAAAATCTCTAACAGCTGAAATGACAGAGAGGACTTTATAGCTATGTATAATTTTATATTTAGCTATTATTTGGTTAATTACAAAAATCGAAAGCCTTATAAAGGAATATATCCAAGCAAGTGTATATCCCCGGCAAGGTCCAGTTTTCAATCATATATTTCAAATTAAGCACACACTAAAAATAAAATTGAACTCAAGCCAAGAACTTACTTTTCTCCTTCTACCAGATTCTTTCTTTTCTTGACTCCATTTAATTTCATTTCATTCCACTGGAAAACCGAACGACAGTTTCCCATATATTTGCAATTAACTGTCCGTCCCACACACATATACAAAATTCACAGTTTACTTTGAACATCCCTGTCTCTGCCCCACTGCTTCTTGCACTGACGCATACATTCTAGTAAGTGTGTGTGAATGTGTGTTATAAGTTGTTCATTCAAATAATTTCGCTTTTGCTTGAACAAATTGATGAAAAGCGCTTTTCCGAGAAAGCCAACAAGCAAGTAAATGAGCATGGGTGTCGAGCAAGAGACTAATTAGCTTCGTGTCGCCTTTTCGCGCGGTTGCTTGCGTCGTCTTCTTAAATATATGTATAGGTATATGTGTGTGTGTAAACTTTTTGTGCCGCGAAGGCAGCTAAAGCAGCAACTATTAGCAAGGACATCGCCTTAATAAACTTTAATGCGATGAATTGCTGTTTTTGTTCTGTTGCTTGGAGAAAGGAAATGGAACGCGCTTAATTATCTGGGCGTCAGCAATCGTTCTAGTGGTTTCAATTATAAACGCGCTGTTGCATATTTGCGCATATACAAAAATATAGTATCATGTTTATATAAATATAGGCATCTCTATCTCTACAACAAGTATTGTATATACTAAACATACGAGTAACCACTAAAACAACGTCTCTCCTCCTTATGTATTCTATATAACTTTCTGAATATTGTTCGGCCTAAATTCCTTATCCTGAGCTTATATACATACATATACTGATGCACTTCGATCACAGTTTTGAAAAGACGTTCTCGCAAGGATCGATATAAATTCCTTTTGAAAATCTTTACACCCTGACCAGGGTATATTCAATTTACCATTGATTGCCGGTTTATAACACCCAGAAAGAAACGTCGAAGACCCTATAAAATATATATATTAATAATCAGCATGATAAGCTAAGTCGATTAACTGAACGATCGGAAAAAGTGGTTGCATAAAAAGCTTTTTCATTTGAGGAGATATCTGCAGGAAATTTGACATGGGTTTTTGACGAAGGCAATGGTGCAGTCTCCGAAGAAAGTCACTATATCATATAGCTGTTATACAAGCTGAATGATCAAAATAAAGTACTTTTAAAGAATATTTTGTATTTGCGAAGGGTATTACTGGTGCAACCGAAGTAACTATTGACCTCCTAGAGAATACCAAATTTTTTCCACTGAGTGAAAACAAACCTAACCTAATTGAACTTCTTCGAATTACTACTCTAACTATTATCTATATATATATATCTATAAGTATAATGTGTTACATGTTAAGACGGTCTTATAAGAAGATTTCACACAGTAAATTACTATCTTGAACAATTACTAATTTTAGAATACATTTCAGGACACGACCACAACCCGAATAGTTTATTTTAGAAACCTTACTAATGAGATCCGAGATGATGTTGTTCATCTCGAGTTTATTTACCTTTTAAATTTCACACCAAGATTATGAAAACATAATCGAGTTCACAATTAACCTCAAAATTTTGTCCATAAACATAATTACTAAACCACGCTAATTTAGCTCTCAATTCGAAAGTCTTTAAATTTTACATACACAATATACCTGAAAATATCTGATGGACCATCAGAAATTGGTTGAGATCGCACTTCTCTCGCACACTCAGCGGAAAACTCTTACAAGTATAGCATACAATAACAATCGCTATAATGTAATGAGCGCATCAGCGAGAGGCAACATTGCACGATGATTCATCATACTCGTAATTAAAAGTACTTTTTTGTATCTGCCATGAGAAATTGCAAAAGTGGAAGAAAAGAAAATGCGAATACAAGCATTGTTTAAGGCAAATGAAATGAAAGTACATTACATGGATGTATGTATTTATAAAGAAGATAACGGTACTTGTGAATATATTGTATTTGCAAGCGCGCCTGCAACGCAACTCGAAGTATTTTAAGCTGCTAGGGAGATATAAAGTAAATTAAAGGGGAAGAAGAATAATTCTCTCATTTGTAATTTGTCATTAAACAGTTAAGTTTAAACGAGTAAGGCAGATAAGTTGGAGCAATTAAGAATTTAACTGCTTTTGGAATGGATAACATAAAAATTACCATAAATCGGGAAGTTTAATGGAACTATCAACTATGCATATTGAATTATAGTAAAATGTGAAAATTTTTCTCGTCGAGTGTGGTTGGTAGGGAGTGAAAGTTTGAACTTGGAATTATCTAGCAATATTTAAGCAAAAAACAAAGCTTAGAGACGTTTTTTATTTAAAATGTTGTGCGATAACAAAAATAAATAGAATAGGATCAAATGTCATAATCTTCGATTATTGCATGATAAATGACTTTCGGACACTGACAAAATGGATTTCAAAACTTAATCACTAAGTCATCCCTCAGCATGGCGGGGGGATCACACTTAGACTGTTATGTAAAGTCCTTTGTGAAGATTTATATTTTCGCTTTTTCACCTGGATGCCTAAAAGTATGAGATCCCAGTCATTTTTGCCTTGATCTGGCAAAAGCGGGACAATCGAGGAGGAAGTGGTGAGATGATTCTATCACATCTTCTTCCAGACGGCAGATGCAGCTGGCATACGGTAAGATGTTCAATCTTATCGCATGAATCCCGAACGGACAGTGCCCAGTTAGTACTCCTACAACCATTGAAAGATGGACCTTGATGATAACGAAGAGCTCCCTAGAACTATTCCGATTTAACCTGGGTCAGACAGATCTTGCGTCTGCACAAATGCTGCTAGTTGACCAACGCTTACATTGATTGATCTGTGGCTCATCGGTCCAGTAGCAGACCACAAGAAGCCAACGGAACCTACCCGTTCCCACTCTGCAGTTATTGACACCGAAGTACTTATACCGATATGCTCAACAGATTGACAATATTCTGCAATATCGCTATGACCAGGCAGCCAAACCAAGCTAATTATAAAATAATTAGATGCTAGAGATAAGGAGTCTAGACATCCCTTCACTAGTCTTGAGCGCACAGTCAACGAACTTAAGGCTAATATCGCTGCCCCACTATCAAGAGCCCACCTTAATAGCAGCTCCGGCCAGGAGGCCTAAAAATGCCAATTTAGTGGAGAACAAAATTTCAAAATATTATCGTATAGATCGCAGATGCGAAGTTATATTAATAAGCAAAGGCTATACCAATAAAGATTTATAACAAAGTGTGTGTGCATGCACAAAAAATACAAATTAAATAAAAATAAAGAGTGAGTAAGTATGTGATAAATTTTTTTATGATAACATGACATTTAAATTTTCAAAGCTGTAAATATGGGAAAAGAAAATGGAATTATTAACTTTTGCATATAAAAAATTAACTAAATGCAGTTTTTGATCTATTTAAAATGACTTGCACGTCGATCGGTAAACATTTGATAACTCAGTAATGCAACAGTAGATTTCCCATATCACTGTGCTTGCTCATTGTGCAAGTCAACTTGAAAAACAACCAATCATTTTCAATATTTATCTATAAGCGCCAAATTCTGAGGTAACGTTACAAGCCAACTCAATTAACTTAAAAGTATACTTAAGTAATAAAAAACTTCAACAGTAAATATTTTTTCATCTGTAAAACGGATACTTTCATAGCCATTGACCGCGTGCCACTGAAGAAGCCACTTGCATCTGCTGAGCTTATGGGTGAATTGGTTCGAACCACGCGAGTACGACCATCACTATTATTACAATCAATATTGAGGTAAAAAAAGATTCTCGAAATATAAAATTTTTTGAAATTTTCATACATTTCACTTACGCTTTTCCACACTTATGTAACCCCATTTGTAATAAGCGAAAGCAAACATTAAACTGATTATTATATATGCGAATTTTTCCTCGCTGAATGCATTGTAAACTTTGTAACAGAATTTATGGCAACACTTAATATTATATGTGTGCTTGCGATATATTCAATATCATTGCATTAATCCTTGAATGCACGCCCGTAGATTTCATTTTCCCAAGTGTTCTACAATGCGCATTAAAATTGAATGTTACGTATACACCATGATTCATTAGATAATATATGGAAAATTTATGGCGACAAGCTTCGCTATCTGTTGCGGCTTAATGACTCTCTAACTAATCGTTTGCTACTCGTGCACGATATGTTAAGCCAAATCCACACAAAGCCATTACCTGTTTCACATAACGGCATTTGCGATATACGATGATCCCTATAACAAACAATGTATTTGCCACTAAAAATTCACATCAAAATGCACTTAAACCACAGCGGATAATCAACCATGTTGTGACGCCAAAATCAACTCCCCGTTCTCAACGCAATTTATTTAAAATGGTTTAAAGGCAAAAATTGGATTTTGTGCATTTAAAAAGCATGTCAACACAGTATATACACTTAAATTCATACCTCAACGCCGATAATATAATATTATTGCCGGTTGGTGGCCAGGAAGGAGTGAATAAAAAATGTAGTGGAACATGTATTTTGACACCAGCACCGCTGTGACGTTGTAAAACATTACAACTTTAGCGTGTCGCCTAATTGCCACTTACAGAATTTATGACCGCTTTGGCACAAAAGTCATGTTGTAATCGGATTTTAATTAAAAGTTTATAAGGTCACTGTAGTTTGCACATGATTTTTATTTGGCAGCTTGGTAACGAATTGTTTATTGGTTTTTAATATATGCTGCGAAAATATGTTAATTCAGTTAAAAAATCAGATTTCACACAATTTCGCAGTATGTGATAGGAATGGCTGCTTACCCACACCAAATTTGGTTGCAATTTGTCGGTTATTTCTGAAGATATATGATTTCAAGTTGGTGGTGCCACGCCCATTGTTAAATTTTCACACCTCCTCCCATAAAGCTCTTCCCTACGATCTTGTTTCTGAAATTTAATGCTTGTGGGTTATCGCATTTTTAGTAGTTTTGAACATAGCACTGAAGTGGGCGTGGTTATTATCTGATTTTACTTATTTTCACAGCGTTTGAAAAAGTGCTAAAAAGACTACCTCTTAGCAAATTTGGTTGAATTAGCTTAAACGGTTTCCAAGATATATACATTTAACCATTTAAGGGGCCGAGCTACGTCCACTTTGAAAAAAAATTTCAACCAGCAAGTGTCCCGTATCACCGCGATCACCTGTACCAAATATTATTTAATATTTTATCTTAATCTAAGTCTCTAACGTATCAGTGTGAACATATGTATATTAAGTACTCCAACGACCTCAAATACACCCTGCTAATTTAACTTTTTTTACGACACTGCTGTTAGAAGTAAAAGTGAAAATAAATTTCTTCATGCATTATATTACGTTCAAGCATACGACCTTCATAAAATAAATAATGTTGAGGTTTAAAGCATAATTACGACATGTCATGTTCACAACTTGAAATGCAAATCACGTGTATAAACTCCTTTAGTAGGCCCATTCTTTTGATTCTTTTAGATAGCTTCATAAATATTGAATACTAAAAAATCGAAAAATTAAATTGCATTTCCTGCATTGCTCGATGTTTCCGCTGTGCATTAATAATTTCATTGATAATTCTCAAAATTTAATCCGCTATAAATATCTGCGGTGGCATAATAAATTGCGCTTTATTGCTTTACGCACTGATGCATACTAAATTAATGGATTCAAAATTGAAAACAATAAAAAACAAAAATTTTGTAGCTGCAAAAGGCATATTTTCTTCTAAAATTAAATCATTAAACTTACTTTACAGTGCAAGAAAATTATTTGAAAGTTTTTACTAGAAATTTTCCATTAGGTGTGAAGTATTTATGAGACATAAACATGTGTCTACATGCAAGACTATGTGATGCTATTAGGTTAGTTAATTAAGCCGGCTACATTTAAGTATAAAATTTTTGCCTAACAATATCTGATCTTTTTACATCAAATTCATGGAATAGTTTATTAAATGGCCATGCTAAGGGCCTAAATGGCTTTTTAAAATCAAACAGAAGCCCGTTGCTTTTATACGGGTTTTATGCACGTAGACGCATGTTAGCATTGTCCAAGGAGATACTGTTTTCAAGATCAAGTCAACCCAGTAAACTGTTTTCCTCTTTTTTGCGAGGCTTAGTAGGTTTTAGCTAGACTCCAAACAGTATCTATCAATGAGAGGGTGCAAGTTAAATGTGATATTGACTGTGAAATAACTAATTTAGCAATCTTCCAGGCTTTCGATAAGGTTCTTGTTGTATGAATAATCTCAAATTAGGCTTCAATCTCGGCGATTTCTTTTCAGCGACCATTTTCTTGAGGTCTAAGTACATGAAAAAAGCGATGGAAACGGTTCAGAGATTTTGGTGAATACATAATAAATTCGAAGAACAATTCATACAGCTCAGGGAAGAAAATCCCTAATATTTTAAAGGACAAAAGAGTTGGAATACTTTTTAAAATTATAAATTTAAAATAAAAATAAATAAGTACTTGTAAAAATAAAATATTAAAATATTTTAAAATAATACAATTTTTCATAGAACTGCAAGCACAATTTTCAATGAGAAGTAAATAGTTTAATGTTTTCTATTCCAAAAATCGATAATAGTCTACAACAGTGGAGACTGATGACCATACTATGATTTTTTACTGAGCTGTGAGATTTTAAAGAAGGCCCTGTAAAAAATCGTTCACATCGGAATAGGAATGACGTGGAACCCCGTTGTCATCTTGCGTACCACAAATTTGTAATCGCCTCAAAGCACTTAGATATATGATGGTTTAAAGTAAAGGGTTCTTATGGAATAGCACATCGGACAAATGACCTCCACGGCTTTCCATACACACACACACTCGTTTGTCGAAATTTTCCATGACTATTCTGCCTGCCAATTATGCCTCCAGCCCAAAATCCACACCAAACAGCATTTGTTTTTTGATAATCACATTGAGTTCTCAGAACCCCAAAGCGGCAAGTTTTGTCGATTAATAAACCTATCAATGTGAAAATGATTAGGATTAATTTTACTCGAAAAATCAGCATCCATTTGTTGATGCTCAATAATCCATTCAACAAACTCTCTTTGCTGTGCATGAAAAGCTTTTATTATTTTTCAAATATTGTTCAATAATGAAGTCACGTTGTTCTATCCTGTAACGCGGCTTTTTTGCTAAGCCTAAACTGTCAGCTCGATTTGTTTTTTAGGGTTTTCAACACTTTACTACATAAATGGCGGCAAATTTAAATTTTGCGTTTGATTTGGGAGATCCTTTTTTCCATTAATTTTCCATTGGAGGCAAACCATTGGCAGATTGCTTTTTCTGATTTAATTATACTTCTAGCTGCTATTAAAAATGTACCTGTGAAGGGTATTACAGCTTCGATGCAGTCAAAGTAAACGTTTTTGTTGTTGAAGCAAATATTACAAAAAGAGTTTTGAGACTAATTAATGATTGCTTTTTAGTTTTACAAATTTGGTTTTTTATTCAAATCATTTCCATTTCTCCAAATCTGCTCTATTTTTCAGCATTTTCTATGAACTCTGAAAGAGCATGAAATAATATTATATAAACTGCTAGAAGTATATAAATGTGCTGCTAAGAATTTTTCAGAGTGTCTTTATTATCATATTTTGTCGCTTTCTGGTGGTACAATAGTGGGCCCTATTTCACTCTTGATGACCAAGTAATGCCTCTAGTTTTTTGCAAGTTGTAGTTAACTGTGAACTAAAATATTTCATATAAAGTCACACATTGCTTAAGTTTCGAAGACTTATCGATGTTGTCATATATTTTACTTATTTTTTCTTTATTTGATTGTATCTGTGCTTTTATTTTCGAATATTTGAAAAATTTACTTTTTCAAGAAATTTGGCTGTAATTTTCATTGTATTTTTCTACTCAGCAAAGTTAACAGCATCTTTACCTCCTATATATTAAGGCAGACTTTTTTTGCATGAAAGTTATATTTTTTTTCTAAAACCTCACTTAACTGCATGAGTAATTATATGTATGTATGCTATTTCGTAGCCCTTTTAAATTGATCTGCATCTGCGCTTCTTTTTTCTTAATTATTTGCTGGCATCACGCTCTTCTTATACCGAAAATAAAATACTTATTTCATTCAATTATTGGCATTCCTATGTAGAATCAAATTTCTTGGATACGTCGACGCGACTGGCACATCCTTTCATCTGGCGCTCAACTCTACACCAACGACGAACGCTTCGCGATACTGCACGCGCCCGGCTCCAACATGTGGACGTTGCAGATAAAGTTCGTGCAGCGGCGAGATCACGGCATGTACGAGTGTCAGGTGAGTGAATGCAATACACATACAAAACATAGTATATGTATATCTGTAGCTATATATGAGTCAAACGTGTGTGACAGCCTCAGTGATTTTGCCCCAAACTGCTGACACAGCAGTTTTGAGCTGAAAAAACAAGCGAACCACTGCATTTACATATGCTCCCTTGCACACATTATTATTTACATGCATGTGTAAGTGCCATTATTGCGGTGTCGCTTGTTGTGAGCAACTCATTGGCCTTTGCTGTTCTTGTTGTTGTTGTCACACTGTTGTATGTTGCACTTCAACTGTTCGCCAACTAAAATGTGTCACTTACCTCAGCTGGTCATATTTTATTCATATTTTTATCTGCGGCTCAAACGTAGCTACATCTGCTGGCCATGCAACAACAACAGTCAACAACAGAAAATACCCAAGCACTAATATTTATTCATATGCCAGCAATATGGGTAGCAATTTCGAACCGGTGCTCTGGCATGTGAGCGTCGAGTTTAATTTTAAAATTTGTTTTTGTAGGTTTTTTCTTGTAGCAGGCCACACGTGCAATATGTGGCGAGAGAGACGACAGCATGTTGTGCTGGATAACCAAAAAATGGAAAGTAATTAAAATACATACAAATAAATAAATTCAGTTGTCATAGTGAGGTGTCTAACTGAAATCACAAAATGTCACAACAAATTTATTATTCAAAAATTCTGATAGAAAAAAACCACTAGTGTGAGTAAATGAAAAATATGTAAAACTCCGGTGGTTCGGTCGTTTTTAGTCACAGCTTTTATAAAAAACCGGGCGAAATAGAAAGAATGTCAGTTGACGAAATATGATTTCATTTGACAGAAGTAAGTGAATATGCACATAAGTACATACATATGTTTTGTAATCACTGCTGAACTAAAATAGGTTAGTCTAAATGATTTCGCATCTCAGCATTTCTGTCATTCAGATTGTGTTTGGTGTTATAGACTGATAGCCTGATAACAATGACAGCTCCTAAAATAATAACGCTTAGTAAATAAAATGGTTACTCTTAATGTATATAAGGTTATTAATAGCTATTGTAAGCAAGATTTAAATTAGCACCTTAACATATATTAAGTTAGGTTACGTAATAGGGCTAAGTTTACGCCAAATATAACTAAGGATCCTATTTTGACAGCTGTAAACGCTGGTCTTTTACGACTCATAGATATGGATCATTATCGAATTTCTTAATCCAAATAATACTATTCCCAGCCAACTTGTCTTCTTTCATAGACCTCGATGTCTACATATTTATAAAGGGCACTGGTCAACCTTGATACCAAACCTTTGTTTGGCGAAGCACCAGCTAAGGACTAAATGTTATCGATTTCAATATGGAAATAAAACGTTTTTTGTAGCACTATGCAACAGTGAGCTTTCGGCTCTCTTTGACTTCACACTTATTTACAGACGATATATATACGTTGGTCGTTTCCTTACCCTAGCGTAATTCTAATACCTTTATTTATCCTTTTTTTACGCTTGATCAGAAATGGTAACACTAAAGACACTTTACGCTATATAACTAACTTTACGCTATTAATCTAAGTTTATTACGTTAAGTCTGATTTTAAATACCTTCATAACTGCTCTGGTACAAAGTGCAATCGAATGACTCACATGGCGTATGAGCAACATTTCTGTTAGAATTATTATTATTATTATTTAAAAACATACTATTGTATGTTATAATGTACTATTCGCATACAAGTTGCAAACTTACTGCTCAATATCAAAGTCAAACATGTTGAGTACATATATGTAAAAGAAGTGTACACATATTTGCACTTATATGAGAAAACTAGACATGCATATGTAATGCAATTTCATTGGAAATAGTAAAATATTTTCACAAACTACAAACTCCCAGGAAGCAGCATAAGTCAACTCAAGCACTCAAGCCCTGCGAATGTCAAGAAAGACAACATATGCTTACTTGGTTGCTCACTTCATACAACCATATACATTAGGGTTTTCGTTATTTCCCTAGATGATTGTTTTTTTAGCAAACGTTCCCTGAACTAAGATCTAACTTAAACGCTCTCCTAATTCTCAATATACCATAAACCGTGCCTAAATCATATTTCTTTTCCTAAGTATGAAAAGACTATATTCTCATTCAAAATTTTCCGCTCTACAAAAAAGTTATATGTAGTTTAAATTATACATCAAATGGCATGAGTATCCATACAATTGGTTTAAGAATTCTGTGTTGCTCATACGGCATGGTGTACTATATTAATTCTTTTTATACCCTGAGCAGAATATATTACGTTTGCTACGAAGTTTGTAGTACTTAAAAGGAAACGTCACAGACCTTACAAAGTATATATATCCGTCTGTCCGTCTGTCCGTCTGTATATATGCAAACTAGGCCCTCAGTCTTTTAGATATTTTGAAAATGTTCTTTTCTCCCCAAAGCAGTGCTCATTTGTCGGAAGTGCCGATATAGAATCTCTATAGCAAGTCACACAAACTGACCGATAAAAGTCAAGATGAAGATATTTTTTTACTCCTTTATGCTATAAAAACTGAACCGAAGTTAACGTTTTCTCTCGTTTATGCATAACTTTTACAGGAATATTTTTATGAAAAACCACATTAAGACCTTTTTTGTAGAGATGAAAATTTTGAATTAGAATATCACTTCTTCAAAGTTGCAGATTTATTTATAGCAAGAGAGCAAAAAATCGAATAAAAATCATTTTAGAAAAGTAAAGTGATTTAGACACGGTTTAAAATTAAAATAAGGAGTTTTTTTCCATTGAATCCTTCAACTCGTAAAATAATGGACAGCCTAATACGAGTATACTGGTATGTACATAAGTACGAACATATGTATGTGTTTATTAAAAACTTAGTTGATTTGTTGAGACAACGAAGTTTGCACAAGCCCATACACTTCAACAAATTTATAAATTTGTTATTGCAAAAGTAAAGTAAATTCATAAGAATTGTACTTAGACTTAGCGTTACTGCTAAATTATTATATTTTGTACACAATGTGCATTTTCCAAAATACAAAAATATTTGGATGTTCAATTTTTATATATAAACAATATTATTTTAAACAATATTTATTAACTTCAAAGAAATATAACTTTATAGGGCCAGTTAAAGCCAAATAGAATTTCCTAGAATGGAACTGATATTTTATAACAATGAAAACGTAGAAAACTTCTAATAGAGTTTAACAAATATGTATATATTTAAGAGTGCGTCATTTATAATTTTGGTATTAAATATTGTATTAATAATACTTGAAACGGAGGGAGGTCACCAAAAAAAAATGTACAACGGTCGCTTGAAGCTAATAAGAGGAAGCCAAGTATTTACAAGAGTCTAGCTATTTAGTAGTCGATAGAACCACTTTGGGGCGAATTTTGAAGAATTATTTGAATTAACTTCCACATAGAGTAACATAAACACAAATAATACTTTGCTTAAACTAGCTCACTCAAACAGCTGTGCCGGAATTGTCACTAAGAATTGACAAAAGAAAAAATTGAAGCGATTACAAAAGCGACGGTTTTGCTATTATCAGAAAAACAATACAAATAAATTGCCTCAACCCCAAATTAATTAAAAGTTTCTGAAACAGTAAATACGATAGCTATCTATCCAAGTTTTATCAGGAGAGTTTCGGAAGTAATATCTGTCAGACTGTATATTCACAGTTATCTTACGTTCATGACACAACAGTTTTTATGAAATCTGTTTCTTTCTCCACATTGTATATCTATAATAGCTACGTATATACAATGTGAATGTTGTATCTTACTTTGGAACTATATTTGATGCAAATTTTTTTTCTTTTATAACAAAAGAAATTGAAACTATAATTTTTTCTGGATTAGATAGCTAATCTACGTAAAATAATTACCTTTTTATATATAGCAACCCTTTATATGAAAAATAGCAATTCTGCAGTGAAACAAACATATAGTTATTTTATAATTAAAAAAGGGATAAAAAGATTTTTATCTTGATTTTGACCGGTCAGTTTGAATGGCTGCTATGTGATATAGTGGTCCGCTCTTATATATATATATATCTTATAAAAAAGTTAACAATACAAGAACTTGAATGCGATCGGTCAGTTTATAAGACAGCATTCTGCTATAATTGTCTGATCTGCACAATTTTTTCAAAGATTGTAGCGATGTTAAGAATATCAATCAATGCCAAATTACGTTAATATACTTTCCACACAAGGACTTGAGTAGGATCGATCAGTTTATAAGGCAGCTATATGCTATAGTAATCCGATATCCGAATGAGCAGACACTTAAAGAGAAAAGGACGTGTGTGAAATTTCAGGTCGATATCTCAAAAACTGAGTTAGTAATTCGTGTATATATAAACTGACGAATAGACGGAATAGCTAAATAAACTCAGCTCGTCACCTTGATCATTTATATAAACATTTTATAGGGTATCCGACGTTTCCTTCTAGGTGTGGCAACTTAATATACCCTGTTCAGGGTATAAAGATAATATGTCCATATTATTGTGAGTTAGGTGAAGAAAACTATTACAATGTGGTTAGGTTAGGTAAGGCTAAATGGTCGATCCTAAAAAGTAGATCTAACTTGGACAGCTTATTACGCCAGTCCGTTGTGGTACCTAGAACTCCTTTAAAAATGTATCATTAACTCCCATATATCGACAAATTGCTTTGAGGCAATCGCAAATTTGCTGAGGCGGCCAAAGTCAGCTACAACCAATCATTTTCTTAAGCTTTCGAGAAAAACGGCTTATTTTAAAGCTCGCTCTTAATATTATTCATAAAATAATTAGATTCAAAGCATTTTTAAATATTTAGCACTCAAAGACAGTAATTAAAAAATCGCTTTACAACGATCTTTAAAAATTCTTTTCCACCAAAAACGCCTAAAATCGTAAATAACGCAAAATGAGACCATATCCACACTTTTATATAAATTGACAGTTTTATAACAGAAATTTCATTTGCGCATCTACTTCCTTGCAGGTATCAACGCCGACAGGCATCATTTCGCATTTTGTGAATCTGCAAGTGGTCGTACCCGAGGCATTTATACTGGGCTCCGGTGAGCTGCACGTCGACATGGGATCCACAATAAATCTCGTCTGCATAATTGAAAAGGTAAGCACCGAAACACACCCATACATACACATATACACTCGAACACTTGCACGCGCAAAAAAATCAAAGCAAGAGAAAATAAAAATATGCCAAGGCCAAAGTACATGCAACAACAAACACAAATACGAATGTTTACCTACACATATAGACCTAGTGCTGCTTGCCAATACACGAAAGTGTATTTACTTTAACATTGGACGTCAACAACTTTTGCCAAGATTTATGTTGGCCACCAAATTTACGTTTACTTGCCACAGAAATTCAAATTTGTTGGGTTAATGAAAATTTATATGACGCGCTGCAAGCGCATATAGACACACACACATACAAATGTATATTTATATGAGGCAAGTGAGCAACGGAGCGAAGTGAGCAGCCGAGCGAAGTGCAAGTGCAGCACAGCAGCTGCAACAATTTCAAGTGCCATTAAATTTAATATAACTGAACGAGTAGTAAAATACTAACAAACGCAATCACGCGCGCATACATACATATTTCATGTGGCTACATATATACGTGCGAGTATATGTATGTTTGAACGCACGTTAACTTGCCGCAGCACTCACTTAGCGTAAGTCGTGCAATATCCTTTGTAGCTTCTAGCCACTCGGCGGTGATTACTATTACTTACATAAATATTCATGTCCTTTTTATAGAGACCCTGTAGGAAATAGGAGAGCTATTGACAAAGATTTCTAAAATGTTACAGACACTGAGAGATTGTCACTCGTTTGTGGTAAATTTAACCATTTATCATGTTTTAGGCAAGAAGAACTTATTGGAAATTAGAACAAGTCTTCTTCGCGTTATATCTTTATACTAAAGATAGGTTTCAGAAGTAATTTCAATAAAGGTTGACGCCAGCCTAAACAATTGTTGCCCTAAAAAGCTAAAAAAAATTATCAAATACGCTCATATCTCCGAAACTATTTGCCGAATCAACTGAAATTTTTTAGAGAATATTCCCTAGTATAATTATATTTGATAAATGAACAAAAAGAAATATTGATTTTTGAAATCACCAAGGGAATATAACCCCTTAATAGAAGAGCTATCAAAGACATGCCTTTTTTGTAGACTTTAAATTGGCCCAAATCGGAAATTATTTGCGAAATCACCTATTTCTAACCATATCTTTCTTGGAGGACCAGAGGTGAATTGACTGTTTCCATTTTACTATTTGCCATAGAGCAGGAGAGTCGAGAGAGAAAGAGAGATATTCTCGACTGAAACTGAATTACAATAACATACGAAAATTTCTTTCAATGGTTTTTTGGTTAGGTATATGTTACACATATATTTATCTTGTAAAGCAAATGAGTAAAGTATTGCAATTGATATGTAAAAAGTAGTAAATAGGAAGAATTACGATTATAGTGCTGAATAGATAACAACTGTGCCACAGCATAGCCAGTGAAATTTCCTGCAGGGATTGTCTGTATATAGCATATGCTTGTATGTGTTCGTGAGTGGGTGCCGATTTCGCATAGTTAAAGTGAATTTGCCCGCAGTTCATGCAGCCAAGTGTCCTCACAGCAGCAGAACACATGCATACTTACATGCATATACGTATTTACAACACGAACACATATGTAGCGTACATAAGCGGCAAAACGGTTGCAATAAAAATACTGAACACACGGAGGCAGCCTTTCAATGTCTTTTACGCCACGTTTGCTGCTGATTTTATTGCCGCTGCGATGGCGATTACACCAAGTAATCCAAGCCAGAAACGCGTTTGCTTATGTACGCCGTGGCGAACGCAGCTGAAATTATTGAAATTACGAGTACACAATATTTTGTTGCAAGCGTTTTGGCTTTAAGCTGTTGCGTCTCTTCGAAAGCCGACACACACACACCAGCGTACGTATGCGCTTGTATTCCTCGTGCACTTATCTCCTTGCATACCGACTAAATTTTCGGCGGTTTGTTGCCGTTATATTCACACGAGTGCTCTTGCACAAACAGCTCTCAAGTTGCTTGGCTAAAGTGTGGCAAAATTCGTGGTTAAAGTTTGAAATTAATTTTCGTAAAACACTCGGAAATGTTCTCTAATCGAAAAGGATATGAAATGTTTCGTGGGATCGACTACACAGAAAATCGTTTGAAGTGCAGTTCGTATATTTTTACTCTTTAACAATTTCGACTTTGATTGAAATTATTTAGTTTGTACCTTCTGAACAGTTAATCGTAAATAATTTAATTAAAACTATTTCTTAGTCAAAGACAAATATTATATGCAAATAAAGGAGAGAAAAGTTCGAGTGTAACCGAACATTTTATACTCTTGCAACTTGCTAAAGCAAAGCCGGGGAAATACCTTCAGTTATGAGTAAAACTTTAAGAGGATGCAAGGGGTGATTTTATATATTTTTGGATGTCAAATAGTTAGGAAGATGGAAAATATTTATACTGAGGGCTTAGATAAGTATTGACGATTTTACCCATTTTATGCGCAACGGCATGCACGAGAAGAGCAGCGGGTTAGTATAGCTCGACTTTGCACTCTTCTAACAGTCTTTCAACGTAATTAGTAAAACGGCTTGGGTGGCAATGTGAAATTAGTGCTATGGACACTTTGATTGTTAATTTGTACCATGGTGCGCTACTATTAGATTTCAACAGTTAATCATAGCTCGCATTTGTCCGTAACGCATTTCCAGTTTCCATGGATTTACAATACAGTACATTCCGTCGATCGCTCTCACGACAATCACTTAGAATGCTCAAATAGTCAGGTTTAATGATCAACTTAGTTTTACCATCGTCCAAAATCAATTCGTGGATCATTTTGAAGTATCCGTATATAGTCTATTTTAAATAATATTGTCTTTTGGAAGTTATGTTAGACCTAAAATTTTATGAAATGATAGTTATTTATAATGGCAACAATTGTAATGAATTATTGGAAAAAAGATCTGCTAATAAAACTTTTGTTGCTAGTTCAGTAATATAATAGTTCTGAGTCACAGTATTTTTTTGTCATTCTGAGAACTATGTATGTTGTTGTAATTTTTATTGATTGCTGGCGTGTGGCTCCGGTATATTGGTAAGATGGCCAATAATGGAAAAGAAATACGCGGTAAAGCGTATGGAAAGTATACAAAGAGCTGCCAGTATATGCATTAGTGGAGCTCTTAGAATAAAGCCAAGCCAGGCTCTAAACGTCATTCTACATTTATTGCCAACAGACCTGTTCTGTAAGCAAGTGGCAGCAAAGTCAGCTCTCAGACTGAGGGAATCCTCCCAACTAGTCCCATGTAACAAGGGACATTCTAGACACGCAGTATATTCCCGTTCCTACCCAAAACCACGGATTTTTGCAATCTTATAGAATTGAAGCTAAATTCGGTCCACAATAGTGCATTCCCTACTACCAGAGAGGAGTGGGAAAGGGACGAGGTGGACAGGAATACAGGAATTAGCATCTACACGGATGGATCCAAACTGGATAATCGAGTGGGAGGTGGTGTCTTTTGCGCAAAATTAGACACCAAAATCGCCTTCCGTTTACCAGACCACTGCAGGGTCTTCCAGGCGGAGATCACAGCAATCAATGAAAGCCTTGCGGTATTGACAAAAAGTGTGCTCACAACATGGAGCATATATATATATACGGATAGCCAAGCGGCCTTGAAATCACTCAAGTCTCCAATTGGAGGATCTGACATCATATTTCACGATAAACCTGCAATGGGTTCCAGGACACAGTGATATCCCTGTTAACTGCGAAGCAGATGAACTAGCCAGAACAGGTACCACTTTGCAACTAACCCCTGAAAAAGAGGGAATTTCTATGCCTCTGGGAACTTGCAACTTAACACTTAATCAGCGAACATGCTGTAAATCTAGCTGGGTCTCGGTGGAGACAAACAACAACTTGCTCTACTTTCAGACGAACGTGGTAGGATTGGAGCGTGAGTCGCACAAACCGATTACTAAAATTCAAAGGCATGACATAAGGACTCTGATGGGAGTAATAACAGGTCACTGTCTAATTGGTATATATGCCAACAGGCTAGGTGTACCTTACAACGACTATTGTAGAAGCTGCCAGGAAGTAGAAGAACTGTAAAACATATTCTATGCGAATGTAAGGCTCTATACAGGAAAAGAATCGGAACTATCGGTCGAGAATTCCTTTACGACGTATCAGAAGTTGCATATAAAACTAATTGTACTGATGAGCTTCATCAGAAGAGCAGGGTGATTCAGAGATGAGACGAGAGAGTGAGGGAACATTAGTCCCGGTGGTATCACAATGGGCCTCCTATAGGCCTAGGTGTGTCGTTAGACAGCCTATCTACATTCCTACCTACCTAGACGAGTTGAAAACTGTCTGTCTGTCCGTCCGTCTGTCCGTTTGTACAAGCGATAACTTCAGTAAAAATTGAGATATCTTAATGATTAATCGAAAACCTATAAATTGCCATAACTAAGCACTAAATTAAGATATAAACCAGTTATTTGGTACTGGGGATTGCTGTGGCAAGGGCCACCTATGAACTAAAAATCCTCTCCCCACATAACGGTTTTGTTAAAAACTACTAAAAGTGCGTTAAATCTATAAATAAATTCGTCAGAGACATTAAAGTTTACACCCAGGACGATACATGAAGGCTTTATAAGAGGCGGGGTCAAAATTAGACGATGGGCGCCCATATTTACCCATATTTAGCTAAAATCACATATCTGCGGATCTACTCGACCAATTTCAACCAAATTTGGTATATAAGATAACCCTCATTATCGCATGTCACACTACAAAATTGCGCAGACTAGAACCGTGCCTACTTCCCATATAGCACCATTTTAAGTCCATATGATTCTTTCACTTTCCTGTACACAAATAAAGCGCTAATGAATATATTCGGATAAAACATTGCACAAATAGTGCCTTTGAGGTATCCTTGTACGATGCAAGAGTGCAAAATGTTAGATTACAGCTGAACTTACCCTTCCTTACTTGTACCAATTATCGTAGAAAGGTTTCTAGTAAA